TAGAAAGAGAGTTGTTGAAGGAGTGGTTCTTGGAGAAGAGAGTGAAAACAAGAGAAACACAGGAACTGCATTGTTTCCTAGGAAGAATCGAACCGGCTTCTTCGGGGCATCCTCGCCTGCTGATACTGCACAGAGCTTAAGTTGCGTCAACGACAACAACAGCTACAGTTGCGGATACTTGATTGAAGCATCATCGATCATGGCTTTGGGTGATTCCAATCCTCCCGACATCGATGAAGACCTGTACAGCCGTCAGCTCGCTGTGTATTGTCACGAGACGATGAGGAAGCTCTTCGCGGCTAACGTCCTTGTCTCCGGGATGCAGGGTCTTGGTGTCGAGATTGGTATTGTGATTGAACAACCTCGCAATTGCTTTTCCATATATCGAGGGCTATGAATTTAAAATTAGATATGAGGGTGGTTGTGTTCTATCTGGCATAAAGTGATTATTGAGCAAGAGTTTTGGTGATTTTTAGATTGTAGGCGTCTACAACATTTGAGAATTCTACATTCATCCGAATGCTATATTGACTAGATGACTGTTTTAGGAAAATACAAGGAATGGTTTTCTTCCCTTTTCCTTGGAGCTTTCATGTCTCTTCGTCTAGTAGAATAAAATAGTTGAGTTTGTCATTTGATGGGATTGGTATTGGTCCCTATGCCGAATGTAGAACTCTCAATTTTGTAATCTTGTTTATCTAATCAATTGTTTTGGCTATTATCGCCAGATGCATATGTTCAATCTTGGCAACTGAGACTATTAATTTTATTATCTGATACCATATTCATTGACAACTTCATCCACTGCTTCTAAGGAGCTATTTACGTTGTCTTTTTGGCCAATCTTACCTTTCTTGGTCTGTGTAATGTGAAGGTTAGGCATGTTGTCATTGCTTCCCCTCTCTTCCACAACTGAATCCCTATGATTATCCCTTGACATTATCTAATTTTCAATTTTATGCTAAATGGTTATGAGACTTCTTTGCCAGTATATGAATTCAATTTGAACCATTCTGTTGGTTTTATAACTTTATTTTATTTTTATGCTTTGATTTTGCTGCTATTTGGTTAAAGAAACATTGACTTTGTAATAACATATTGTGCTAGTGTATTCAGTTTGTGTGTTTCACAACCTGCAGCCAAGAATCTCATTCTTGCTGGCGTCAAAATCTGTGTCGCTGCATGATGAAGGGAATGTGGAGCTTTGGGATCTGTCTAGTAACTTTGTGTTTTCAGAGAATGATGTTGGTAAAAACAGGGCAGTGGCTTTTGTTGGTAAGTTGCAGGAGCTCAATGATGCAGTTCTTGTGCTGGGTTTAACAGCTAAGCTGACAAAGGAACAACTTTTGAATTTCTAGGTACTTCTGTGGCCCTTTCTTTCTATTCCATATTTCTTTTCACTTCATTTTGTTATATTAAAAATATTTATATGCATATCTGCTATGTATTAAGTAGTTTTTTTCATGCACAAAAGTAAATGCATTTTCAATGTGATTTACTTTTATTTGCAGGTTGTTGTTTTCACTGATATTAACCTTGAGAAAGCAATCGAGTTCAACAATTACTGCCATAGTCATCAGCCTCCAATTGCTTTCATTAAATCTGGTGTCAGAGGCCTTTTTGGTTCGGTATACTGTGATTTTGGGCCTGAATTCACTGTTTTTGATGTTGATGGAGAGGAACCCCATACGGGTATAATTGCCTCAATTAGTAATGACAACCCTGCCCTAGTATCCTTTGTTGATGATGAGAGGCTTGAATTTCAGGATGGAGATCTTGTTGTGTTCTCTGAAGTTCATGGTATGACACAACTGAATGATGGAAAACCAAGGAAAATTAAAAATGCTAGAGCAAATTCGTTTTTTCTTGAAGAAGACACTACACATTATGGCAACTATGAAAAGGGTGGTATTGTCACAGAGGTAAAACAGCCAAAGTTGTTGAAATTTAAGACACTCAGAGAATCACTCAGTGATCCTGGTGATTGTCTTCTCAGTGGTTTTTCTAAGTTTGATCGGCCACCACTTCTTCACTTAGCATTCCAGGCTTTGGATAAGTTTGTCTCTGAGTTAGGTCATTTCCCTGTCGCTGGTTTAGAGGATGATGCACAGAAGCTTATATCTATCGCCAGCAATATTAATGAGACCTTGGGAGATGGAAAATTGGCCGATATCAACCCAAAACTTCTGAGGCACTTTGCCTTTGGTTCTAGGGCAGTTTTGAACCCTATGGCTGCCATGTTTGGTGGTTTTGTTGGACAAGAGGTTGTTAAAGCATGCTCTGGGAAGTTTCATCCACTTTTCCAGGTTAGTATGACTTCTGAGTGTTCATCTTGATTATGCTGTGGTTTGGTGTTTGGGTCATTTTACATGTTGCAAGTACACCGAATCCTGATGACAGACTGTTTGCCTGTTCTTGGATTCAACTGAAATGAGCTGATGAGAATAGTTTTAGTTTGTGTTATTTATTGCTTATAAAGATATTTATCCTTGTGCACAGGTGTTCAGTGGCCATAGGGTAGTATTATAGGCACAAAATTTGGGGTTTGCTTTCTCTGCTTTCCTTTGGTAAAAGTTTAGTTTTATGACTGTGTGTAAGGTGGCGGGCTTTAAATTACCACAATGTGTTGTTTGTTTGGATGTTTTATGGGACTGTCAAAATGATGAGATAGTGCATTGGAAACGATGTTATTGTTTACTTGTTTCACAAGCTAGTGGTTTGACATGTTTATCAGTGGACTTGTCCCATTAACATTCCTGTTTGATTTTAGAATGCGCTTTGTTTTGTTGGTTAGTAATTGTGTTTTGAACTTCTCTTTCCTGTGCTGCAGTATTTCTACTTTGACTCTGGAGTCACTTCCTACAGAACCACTCGATCCCAATGATTTTAGAACAGTAAATAGTCGTTGTGATGCACAAATCTCTGTTTTCGGATCAAAGTTACAGAGGAAACTGGAAGAAGCTAAAGTGTTCGTCGTGGGATCTGCTGCTTTAGGATGTGAGTTCCTAAAGAATCTTGCCCTAATGGGAGTTTCTTGGGGAAGTCAGGGGAAGCTGACAATTACTGATGATGATGTTATTGAGAAGAGTAACCTAAGCCGGCAGTTTCTCTTCCATGATAGGAATATTGGACAAGCTAAGTCTACTGTTGCTGCAGCAGCTACAGTCTCTATAAATCCTTCTCTGAATATTGAAGCACTGCAAAACCGTGTCGGTCCTGAAACTGAAAAAAACGTATTTGATGAAAGTTTTTGGGAAAACTTGAGCGTTGTGATTAATGCACTAGATAATGTGAGTGCTAGGCTATATGTTGATCAGAGATGCTTGTATTTCAAAAAGCCTCTTCTTGAATCAGGAACTCTAGGAGCAAAATGCAATACCCAAATGATCAGTCCCCACCTGACTGAAAATTACGGTGCCTCTAGAGATCCTCCTGAGAAAATGGCACCAGTATGTACTGTACAATCGTTTCCACACAACATTGACCACTGCCTGACATGGGCTCGATCTGAATTTGAGGGATTGCTTGAGAAAACGCCAGCTAAAGTGAATGCATATCTGTCCAGCCCAATTGAATATGCAAATGCAATAAAGACGTCTGGCGATTCTCAATCAATTGACAACATGGAGCGTGTTCTCGAGTGCCTTGATAAGGAAAAGTGTGAGACTTTTGAAGACTGTGTTACATGGGCTCGACTAAAGTATGCAACTTTCATTGGACCTTTTCTGTTCTCTTCTATACTAATGTAACGTGTCGTGTTTGTATGGTAATTCTCCATATCTGTCACTCTAACATGGGTTTCTATCACAGGTTTAAAGATTGTTTTGCTAATCGGGTGAAGCAGTTGACTTACACTTTTCCTGAGGATACGGCAACTAATACTGGAGTTCTGTTTTGGTCATCTCCGTTTTCTGATGGCAGCTTCTATACTGCGTGCAGAAATATTTGGCATTCCTATCCCTGATTGGGCGAAGAACCCAGATAAGCTGGCTGAAGCAATTGATAAAGTGATTGTACCAGATTTTCAACCGAAGGACAATGCAAGAATAGTGACCGATGAGAAGGTCACGAGTCTCTCTGCTGCTTCTGTAGATGATGCCACTGCTATCGATGATCTAATATTGAAATTAGAGCAGTGCCGGACAAACCTACCAGCAGGCTTCAGGATCAAACCGATCCAGTTCAAGAAGGTCTGTTATTCTATATTTTTCATCTGCGCAAGTTATTGTTGTTCCGGCTTCTCATTCTAAGTAGTGCTTTGACCATATTGTTTTCTGCAAAACTGCAGGATGATAACTACCACGTGGACGTGATAAATGGGCTTGCCAACATGAGGGCTAGAAATTACAGCATTCCTGAAGTTGACAAACTTAAAGCTAAGCTAATTGCAGGACGTATCATTCCTGTAATTGCAACCTCAACAGCCATGGCCACTGGTCTTGTCTGCCTGGAGCTTTATAAATTTTTGGACAGAGGGCACGGAGTCGAGGACTTCTGGAACACATTTGCTAACCTGGCACTCCCTCTCTTCTCAATAGCTGAGCCAGTTCCGACGAAGGTGCTCAAACATCGGGATTAGTTCAATAGCTGAACCAACAAGTATTTGGTCAAAAAAATAAAAACCTACAAGTAACTTGAAACTTGAATGGCAGAGTGTAAGAAACAAGTGCAACAAATGTTCCTTGGGGACTAAGAGTTGCACTTGATGATGCATGTGGCTATGGTTACTCATTTCTGGAAATTCTAAACCTTATTCGCTGTTCGCTTTCAGTATTTCTCATATTTTGACAGTATTTGAAAGTCAAATGATAAATCCACTTGCTTATCATTGCTAATATTTTCACACTGATTAATCAAACAATCAAAACCCGTAAAATTTTGGAAGAGATGGGTACTGCATGCTTCCCTCCTTCCGATCAATGTAACATTTACATCAAGCGACGTAGCGTACTTGTAAACATGTACTCCTAAAGGAAAAGCTTCATAACCAGCACAAGATATGAAAAATTATTTGACTTTCATAAGGAAACCAATATAGGAATAAGTTACAGATCATGCATCTACACGAGAAATGCATATATCAGCAAAGAAATTTAGAATTAATTAGCAAGGGAAATGAGGCCAAGCTTTCCTAGAAATAAAACTGGAACTACAGTTGCAACTTCAAAGCAAATTATGATATACAGCATTGCTATCTCCCCTGCAGGACTATTCCTCGCAAAGTCTACTACTGATGTATTCCCTTCTATAGAATTGGGCGTTTTGAAGTTGAACCACTTCCAGAAAAGCCTCCTTTCTTGATCATGCTTGGTGAACTGCAGACACGGAGCCATAGCATGAGGTTCAGAAATGAATTCTTCAGTCACAAACTAACTTCTGCTCTACTGCCAAGTGTTCCTCTAGAAAATTGAAAACTGCTGATACGGTTACACGAATGACAAACTAGCACAATATTCTAAACAAAAAGTAAATCCCTCAAAGCAGCTTCTACCAACCAAAAAAAAAAAAAAAGAAGTAATCTATATATTGTACCTCTGACTCCTCTGGATAGTATTTTTCTTCATTGCAGCAAGATTTTTCACTTCAGGACTGCAAGAAATTTAGAACCCGGAAGTTAATATTCAGCAGAGAGTACAAGTTTTGAGGTTTAATATTAGAGCACACTTTTCCCCAGACAGAATGCTAAGCATGCATCATTATATAGACAGTTTCAATTCTGAACACCTTAATACATTTATAATGAATTTAAGTGAGGGTTGTAGGATGCAGTATAAAAGTTTTCATGTGATGTTTTGTAAAATTCTATGCAAGCATCTCCGATCTGATTTCAGATGCCATAAGATGGAAACATTTTGCAACAAAGATACAACTCATCAGATTAGTACAAAACAATCCATAAGATTCATATTTCACAGAAGAGATAATGTAACGTTCCCACTTCCCCTAAAGAGCTTGTCCACATACATTTTCCCTGGTTTTAATCATTGGTGTGACTCCAATTATAGTCACTCCGACAAGGTGAATTCTATATTTCAACCACTTACATCATTCTCTTCTTACGATGTCTTAAGCTCCTGTTAATTTCCAGCTTCCATTCATTTTCTTATCTAACATCCTTGGAAGTTAGAAGCATCAGATAATTGTACAATAAGAAAAATTACCTCTTTAGAAATTCTATCTTTGATTTCTTCAGTATGTTGCTCTTCAAATGTGATACATTATAGCTAGACCCTCCATCTATAACGGAATCTCATATTATTAAACAATCAATATAAGTTGCAACACTGATCAAATATTTAAAGCAGATGATTTGGTAAATGACATTACGAAACGTAAGACATAGTGACTTACCACCCCAAAATTTTCTTTTACTTGAAGGGGGAACTTTTGTGCATAGCCTTACTTGCCTACTTTGTTTCCCTATATAAGCCCACTATTGGTCAGTATTCAACAAAGTAATCAGTTAACAACTAGTTATAAAAGAATTGGCATGCTGGTCTATGCCGTTTAAAATTAAGAATTATTATTTGGTACCAATAATATACTGAAAGATATTCACCGGTGGATTCAGCAACCATATTCATTGAAAGTCAAGGAATACTATGGGTACTGAAGTACTTTACCGGAAACTACATAAGAAGGAAAGGGAATATATTATGCTTAAAGAAAAGAGAAAACTGTCTAGGGTCTTACGGTCATCTAATTTCTTGTATCGTTGCTTCAATCGATCAACTGCTTTATCCTCAGCCTCAGCCACTTCCTTTAGTTTTGCCTGCAGAGATGTCACCTATTTAGCAAAACTAAAAATTCGTGTTTTAAGCTAACAAAAGCCCTCTCAGTAATCAGGTACGCTGTATAACTTATACACAGAATGAAACACAAAAACTATAAACCCCAAAGAAACCGCACCTCATATAACTGTATCCATTTGTATGACACTTTCTTATCTTTCATCCTCTTAACTACTTGACTTGTACAATGTGTACCAAACTCCTTTTCAAAAAATCGCTTCCATAACTTATCAGTTATAGGACTCAGGTCTGTTCCCTAAAAAGAGCACATAAGAGGAAACAGTTGAGACTTACAAAATTCAAGCATAATTGGAATTCTTATATATAATAAGACAGAAATAAGACAGACTTCCTTACTTCAGTTGACTTTTCTACATGCATCAATTGATCAACTGTGCAGTGTGGCAGTATTCGCTCTAGCAGATTATCAGCAATTCCGCCAACATTTCCTAAGTACCTCACGTTATCGATTAGTTTCTGAACACAAAGATCTACCAACAATGGTACCTTCTTACGCCCAAACATGTTTCTTGATCTCTTCCCGTTGTAATGCTTATAAAATCAAAAGACAAAAACTTCATAAAAATCCGATTATCCATTGCACTGAACCCAACTATACGTGAAACTTGCACAATTTCAGCTTCTGAAAGTAGAGCTTGATGTTTTCTTTTTCTTTTTTAACAGAACAATGATTTCTCAAGAAGCTAAGAAAACCAGGGTATCGATTTGGTTCTTTGATATAAGCAACAGGAGATGAATGAGGATTTTTCCCATTCTCAGCGGAAAACTCAGCTATCAATCATATATGTTAATCAACAGTAATCGAAATTATCAGAAAACCCAAACGGGATTCATACGATGAAAACCGAAATCAATCAAAGCAGATCAGATCGTACACAGATAATCATTCAAGGAAACACTCAACAGATTAGAAGAAGCAAGATCGATTAACAGGAAACCAAATCATCCGTTATACTCACATATTAGATTCGAATTGACGTAATCTGATCCGTCGATCAGATTCGACGAACAACAGCCACAGCGAAGTCGATCAAGAGCCGTATCAGCCACCGACAACGGACGAAGGGAAAGTCCTACCAGAGGACTCGGGAGCGTGCGTTACACGCGACCCCTCTGGTTTTTCTTCAACTGATGATGTGTGAAAGTGAGGTTCTCTCAGCCGAATTAAGAAGAGCTTGGTGACGCGATTTGCAACCACCGTGGCAGTACCGCGCGTGGAAGAAATATATCGTTGCTTTCCGATGATACCAAGAACTGTACAGCATATTTATTCAGAACAGGTTCACGGTCACCTGTTTCGGAGTTTTTTTGATAAATAATAATAATAACAATAACAACAATAATGATCTTCTAGTTTCACCCTTTTATCTAGGGAAAACATGCGTCCTTTTTTCCCGTGCTTATTATTTAGAGCCATTTAAATTTAATTTATATTTTAAGTGTAGATTAGAGGTTTTAATTTTGAATTTTTATAATAAATTCATTATTTTTAAAAGTAAGATTTATATACTTAAACTTATATACTTAATATACTTTTATTTAATTAAATTAATACATGTAAATTTTATTATCTAATCAAATTAATATATGTAGATTTTAATATGTTAAAAATATTAATAATGAGAATTTTTTATACATTAAATAATTTATAAATGATACTCATATTTTGATATAATTAAAAATAACCACCTTAAATCTATAAAGCTAAATATATAAATTTCTTCCTATTTTTTAAGAAGTGAAAGTTAGAAACTATTTATATTTTATAACATGCATTTATTAAAATAAATTGATTTGTTAACAAGACAGTCCAAAGTTAATGTTATTTATTTAATCCTTTAAATTGGAAACTTAATTTTAAAACATACTAAAATTGTTTATCAAAGATATATTTTCATTAAAAAAAATAATTTTATACTTATCTTAGATATTCGAATTACTTATTTTTTATTGAATGAATCTTTTATTATCCTTTGGATAACAAAGTCTTATTATTAATATTATTAAAATTTTAAACTTTACTAGTTTTAATTTACTTAAATAAAAATGTTTTAAGTACATAAAATTAAGAGTCTGTTTAATTTTTGTCTATAAAAATATTTCCTGTCTTCAAAAATAAAAAAATATTTAAATAAGTGTTTTGAATTTAAATATTTTTAAAATTGTAATCGATCTTTTGTTCTTAAAAACAAAATAAAAATATCTTAAAACTATTTGTATTTTTTATTTCTAAACATATACTACATTTGACCAAAAATAAACTTAAATTAGAGCTGTTTTTCATGTTTTCATAGAATGTTTTCAAGCAAAGTTTGGTTTGCTGAAAGCATTTTGATTAAGATAAATTTTGGAAAAGGAATTGAGCGTGGCAGTTGAAATAGAATTAGAAAATGTTAAAGAAAAAGCTTAGTATGATTAAAAAATATTAATGGAATCTTGGTGTGACTTTGGCTTGGTACAGATGAACAAGAATGGAAAAAATGTCAAAGACAATAATGACCTTATCTTCTCTCGTGAACCATAACTCGATCGCCTGACGCATTCAATTAAAGAGAGACAGCACAAAAAATGAAAGGTGAGACCTACCCGTGTGGATCCCTCCCCAACAAAATAATCCTTGTGCCACTTTTAAAAATACTGGAGAAAAAAAAGGATAAAACTATCAAACAATGATTACAACATTCATAATTTTTTTTTTCCTTTTCTTTTGCTTCTCATTTCCGTCAATAAACCTGACAAGCCCTAATAGAGGGCAAATCATAAAAGGCACACTGCCAATTAAGAAGCCAAGCTGTTTTGTTTGGAACTACCGTACTAGCACGTGCCACGTGGCATCACCCCCTTTACACCTTATCATTAAATACCCAAGAATCCAACCAATCCAACAAAATATTAGATGAAATACTGCTAACCACATACTGGCATGACATTGCAAGTGGAACTGCCTGCTCCGTTTAAAAACTTTTCACGACGTTGTGGGCACTTAAAAAATCCAACTCAACTACTCAGTAAATTCCAGTACTCAAATCTATTCCCAGTCATGTGACAGAAACATCTTGTATTGTGTCAGAATCAATTCTTCCTCGAGAGCTATAATTTCAAGTTCACCGCCATATAACAACTTGCTTTGGAAAAAAATCTGTTGCAGCCATTGATTTGTCTATAGATCAACGAAACGATTCAAAGAATATCAAAAGTAGGATAACCCTTTGTACTCAGTATGCAGTGTTATCAGCTATAATTGGTGGAACAAAGTTACAATGTTCAAGAGTTTGCTCAAAGATATGTCCTACTCTCAGCAGCTCTCCCTGCAAACCATTCAGTTCCAGCAAAATTGTTATAAACGTCATGACGTCATCATTTACATAACATTGCAGACTCGCACAGACAGATAGGACATTCTTGAACACAAGAAATGCCAAATTTCACAAGATATTTGTAAAGAGCATGCCATCTACAAAAATCAATTACCTCACAAAATGCTGAGCCTATCATTTGCAGACCAACAGGAAGGCCCGCATTCCCCCCCGCAACAAATCCACATGGCAAAACCAGAGCAGGTAGTCCAGCTAGGTTAACATTTACCTATGGAAACAACAAACCACCAACAAAAGGTGGGAGATTAGTTGCGTGCTCATTTATATGAATCAGCCATAATGAAGCAAGCATACAAACAAGAAGATCTTCAGTTCATTTGGGTGCATGATTAGCTTGGCATGAACCTTGATGGCATATTGAATTAAAATATAAAATATATGTGAAAATTTAGCTTCAATCTAACAAGGTTATCCCCACACATTTTTTTTTTTTTTATGGGTATTTCCAAGGCAAGAGATAGTGAGATTGTAACTCACCGTATGAAAAATGCTCTCTAAACTATTTGCAATTATTGTTAGTTGTCGCTATAGAGATGATGCAAACCTGTTTCCTAGGGACCACACCTTGTTATCATTGAATTTGAATACAGATATTGGTCAATTATTGGGCGTTTATTTTTCTTCATATTTCATGTTCCTGTTCAAGATCACTTAGGTAACACAAGCAACTCACCAAAGCTCATTCTGACATGATTTATTATCATTTAAGTTTGGGATGGAAAGTTAGGTCAAAAGAAGGAAATACTTACAGTCATGATGTCACCAGCATACATTGCCAAAGGATCATTTTTCTTTTCACCTACAAAAAGCAATGAAACAATATTGCTTCAGGTCCTGAACTTCAGGAGCTAGAAAATACGAATGCAAAAGCAAAAGAAAAGCCAGATATTCACCAATCTTATAAGCAGGTGATGGAGTTGCAGGTGAAATTAGGACATCATTTTGATTTAACGCCTCCTTGAAGCTATTCCTAATTATGGTCCTGACCTGAAACAATAAACAGGCAATTATATCATCTTGAATATCCATACATACAGACATAAATATATACACACAAATGCACGTCTATTTATTAATTTAAGAAGCATAATTCACACAGGTTTTGGGAAGCTAAACTCTTCACCATGAAGTTAAGACAACCGTCACCCACAAAGATATCCCAAAAGTGTGCGTGTATATGGGGTACCTGCTGTGCACGCTTGTAATATGCATCATAATATCCAGCTGAAAGGGCATACGTTCCCATCAAAATTCTCATTTTGACCTGAAATATGTATTTAAAAACCAGCACAACATAACATCAGCACAACTCTGGAAAATGTCGTTTCAGGTATAATGGCATATCTAAAAATCCACAAACAATTTACATTGACACACAGAAACGGCCGCCATCAACAAGGAATTGGCCATTAGTTTATTGAACTTCTGATTGATAGGCTGATAAACTAACGAGTCCATTCACAGCTTCACACTTACATCAATAACAACATAACAAAGAACAGAAAAAGCTCCCTGCTACAGATATCTGAAAAGTGAGTACCTCAGAACCAAACCCTTCAGCACGGGAATCTCCATAAAGAGAGTTCAACTCATCAGCAAAAACTTGTTTTCCATATCTGAATACAAATAAAAATGGCTCATAGAAAACCTAAAAAGTTTATCCATAAATACTGAAATCCAAAGGGGTGCAAGTGGGTGTTTCAGAAGGTGGTCCTTACCTAATGCCATCATAGCGAGACAAGTTAGAAGATGATTCTGATAAGGCAAGGATGTAGTAGGCTGGCAACCCAAGGGAAAAGGATGGCAGTGAGACCTGCACTTTGATAACAGAAAGTTATTAGCCAAAACTTTTTATTATAAACTTTAAAATATCAACAGGAATTAGCATTAAGAATTCTAAGAAGACGAGATTTACCTCATTCACAGAGCATCCTAATTCCTCAAAATGCAAAGCAGCAGCACGAATTGCAGAAACTACTCCAGTTTCAACCCCATCTTCAAGAGTTTCCCGAATCAGACCAATTCTCAGTCCCTTCAAGGGCTTACTTTCCAAGGAACTTGCTGAGACAAATTGAGATACAAACTCCGGTACATCCTGAGAGAAGAAATTATTCAATGTTAACAAAATAGCTTAATGTCAGATATTTTTTTTTAAAAAAAAATAAAATTTCATGATCTAAGTAATTATACATCTTCAGGAGAAACTACAACAATGTTAATGATCCTTATTAATAACGAGAGATCATATGGTTTACATTCTAAAAGAGTAGTACCAGATAAGAGAAATTCTTACTTGCTTACTTGTAGTAGCGTCAAACCTATCATGACCAGCAATTGCATGAAGGAGAATCCCAGTATCTGCAACTGAAGAACCGAAACAACCAACCACATCAAGTGATGATGCATATGCCATAAGTCCAAATCGTGAGACACGCCCATATGTTGGTTTCAATCCTACAACTCCACAAAATGATGCTGGCTGCCTCACGCTTCCACCAGTATCACTTCCCAGTGATAGCATGCACTGCCTGGCAGAAACCGCAGCTGCTGAGCCTCCCGATGATCCTCCTGGCACCCTAGAAATATCCCATGGGTTGGCGGTCACCTATTGAATGAACATATGCATCAACTGAGTAAACCAATCCCAATTACAAATGTACTGTTATAAGATTCCTAAGTAACAACCTTTGAAATTCTCAATTTTCAAAAGAGAGAATCAACATTTATGTGCCAATTACAAACTGGATTTCCAAAAATCAAGAACTTTAACAGTAAAATAGATAGATAAAGAACGAATGTAGTACAAAATATTGAGTATACAATTTGGTCACCAAAAAATCTCCTTCAGTCCTCAGATTTATTCCTCCAAATTAACAGTTTTTCCAAGGTCGTAATCAATGCAGACTAAATATACAAATCGATCTGATAAGGTGTGGTGAGTTCCATACTGTGAGAGACTGGCTAACAGAATAAATTCAACGTTTTCCGCCCGGGGGGGGGGTGTGTATTAACTGCAAAATGATACATTTTGACCGCTTTTTCAAACTTCAAATCATGAGACAACGCTTCGCTAAATATACCAAAAAACCTGAAACGCAGAGCCTTCAGTGGTGCTACCCATACCGAACTCATCCATATTGGTCTTTCCGACGACAATGCCTCCCAGGTCCTTCACTCTCTTCACCGCCGTAGCATCGAACGGTGGCCGGTACCCCTCGAGAATGCGGGACCCACCGGTAGAAGGCATATCCGCCGTACAAAGATTATCCTTAACCCCAACAAGCACCCCAGCCAAGGGGCCAACTTCCTCATTGCTGGCGATTTTCCTATCCAAGTCCTGTGCTTCTCGGAGAACCGAATCTGACACGTGGAGGAAAGAATTGAGTTGGGGCTCGGTGAGTCGTAGGCGAGCTAGATAGGAGTCGGCGACCTCCGTGGCGGTGACGTGGCGGGAGAGGAGGGAGTGGCGCGTGGTGAGGATTTGGGATTGTGGGGATGAGGAGGTTGAAGAAGCAGTGGTGGTGGTAGATTGGTCGGTGAGAGAAGCATTGGGGAAAACATGAGAAGAAGAATGGAAGAAGAAGGGTTTTGAGGAATGGAAGAGGGGAGAGCGAGAGAGAGAGCGAGGAGGAGATTGCAGTGCGGATAGCATTTTCCAAAGGCACAGAAGTGAAGTCCCTGTGAGTGACGATGCCGAGTTGCTGTGTTGAGTGGATAGTGGCGCGGATGGTTTTTTTTAGGGGTGTTCACGGAACCGTTCCCAAAAAAAATCGAAATTAAATTTTAATCCCGTATCCCGTCCCATCTCGAGAGTCATCCCATCCAGTTAAGAGTCGAGACGAGATTGAAACAAGATCGAAACGTCCCATCGTTCCAATAAATTAAATAATATTAAAAAAAGATCTAGATAATAACGTTCATTAAAATTTTAAATTATATAATTATTAAGTTTAAAATCAAAACAATACAAACACATAAATAACAATAATTTAAAATCAGTTATTGAATTATATTAATCACAACTACATATTATAATAACAAATATAAGTAATCTTTATGCTATAAGATTAGCAACAACAGGCAAGTCAAACACAATATCAAATTATTGTTCTTCTACTTTAGTGAAGATGTATTAAGTTAATTACTCTTCTAAAAATAAGCAAGAAATATGTTATAAATAAAAGTTATTAAATAGATAAATATAAGAATAAATTATATGAATATAATTAATATGTTATAAAAAAAGATATCGTCATATTTACTCCATGCCATTAAAATTATCAATATAACAAAACTTTAGTTTTAAATAAGAATTGCAAGTATTAAAATTATAATTGATATAATTAATACAAGTATAAATTATATTAATATAATTAATATATTTAAAATAAAAAATAATATATATATAATATTCGGGACGGGACGTCCCAATGATAATCCCGTATCCCATCCTGTCCCGAACCCCTTTCATGTCCCGTCCCGTAAAGTCTCATTCCGATTATTTTTAGGCCGAGACAAGACCAGTCCTGATATGATCTAGACAATACCGGGTCAGTCGGGACGGGTCTAGACTGAACACCCTTAGTTTTTTTTCTTTGACCTTGGGTTCTTCCAAGAGCAACTATAGAAAAAACGACATTAAACAAAACAAAACAAAACGACATTCTATAAGGCGGCAGCCATACCATTCATGTAACATCCCAATTTAAATTTTAATAGTTAATTTAGATTAATGATAAATGATAATTTTATATATTTTTATTCTTTTAATTTAGACTTTTAATTATTTATTTAAGGCTAATTGAGTTTAATTAGATATTATTTGATTTTATTAGCTAATATTCAGTTTTGGAATTTTAACTAACTAAATCTTTGATTTTAAAATATAAATAATATCTTTAATATTTTTGCACAGGTGCTATTTAATTTTATTTTATTTGTGCAGATTTTCTAGATTCAATTTGAAAGATATTGATGAAGAATATTTTGGATAAGAAGAATATGGGCATGCTTGGAGATCAAATCAAGAATCAAATCTTTAAAATTTTATTTGAATTTATTTTGGATTATTTAGTGTAATTTTTAATTAGGGTCCACTTTTCATATATATATATATATGAATAGATGGGGGACGGAGAGGAAGCACGATCTGGGAAAAAAAAAGGAAAGAAGAGAAACAGAGCAGCGATCGCCATTCATCTTTCCTTCTTCCAATTTCTTGGGTGATGGCTTCTCAATTTTTCATTTCATGTTGTTTGATTTTTAATTCTATGGAGAGCTAATTTTTTTTTTTGGTGTGATCAATCACAAACCATGATCCTAAATTTTAATCAGAGTCTTTAATATTCAGGAAAGATTTTATTTTAGCTTTATTCCAATTTTCTCTTCTTCTCTCTACCTCTAAATTTTATGCTTTAATTACTATTACTGATTAGAGTAGCTTTATTGCATAATTTTTGAGTTATAAATTTTATCTGAGGTTTTAATTGCTATAATCGATTGATATAGCATTGTAAGAGTAATTTGGCTTGGCTTGGGTGATTATCCATGCTTTGTTTTTGGTGTGGCTATAAAACAATTGTTAGGTTGTGGGTTAAAGGAGATTTCAATTAATCTATAACTTAACTTCTTGTTTAATTCTTGAATGATAATTTGAGAAATATTATAATGAAACCAGAATAATAAAGTTGAATAAAATTAATTTATTTTGTAGACGAGGAAGGTTAAATTTAGGTGATTGGGTTGTGATTGATTGCGCTGCTTGTTGTCGGTAATTTTCTTAATTGAATTTCCTCTATTTATTTATTTATAATTTAGTTTTTAATTTCATCATAAAAAAACCCCCCCATTATTTACCTTTTCATAATCATAATTTAAATAGTTACTCTATTGACTCTTAGGGAGACGACCTAGGTTGCACTTTACTGTAAAATCTAGTTTTTATTAATTTTGGTGCTGTTCGACAGTAGTGTCAAAATTTTGGCGCCGTTGCCTGGGATCGAACCCGGGTCGCCCGCGTGACAGTAGTTTTAGGTGTTTTTCATTGTTTTTCCAGTTTATTAGTGCATGACAAGATCTTTACAAGATAAATTAATTGATTTGAACTCTGAGATTGAGAGAACTTGTCGTACTAACCGTAAAAATCAAAAGCACCGTAAAATTAGGGATAGTGTGATCTCTGAAATTTTGTCTGAATTGATTGATAGCATTATTAGTGATTCTAAATCTGACTTAGACTCTACAGTTAAGTTGGAAAATATGGCTGAAAATAATAATGGTAATAGAACAATTAAAGAATTGGCTGCTCCTAATGCACACTATCAAAATTTATGCATTCAATATCCTAATTTAGATGCAAATGCTAGTTTTGAATTGAAATCTGGTTTAGTACATTTGCTACCTAAATTTCATGGTCTTACAGGAGAGGACCCGAATAGGCACTTGAAGGAATTTCATATTGTGTGCTCCACCATGAAGCCTCAAGGAGTTTCAGAAGAGCAAATCAAATTGAGGGCTTTTCCTTTTTCATTGGATGGAGTGGCAAAAGATTGGTTGTATTACTTGCAACCAGGTGCCATTACATCTTGGGATCAAATGACACAGTTATTCTTAGAAAAATTCTTCCCTGCCTCTCGCACAGCTGCAATTAAAAAGGATATTTGTGGGATTCGTCAGATGACTGGGGAGACATTTCATGAATATTGGGAGAGATTTAAGAAATTATGTGCCAGCTGCCCTCACCATCAAATACCTGATCAGCAGCTGGTTCAACATTTTTATGAAGGTCTCTTACCAACAGATAGGTGGTTTGTTGATGCCGCAGCTGGTGGTGCTTTGGTAGAACTTACTCCAACTGATGCCATGAATCTCATTTCTAAGATGGCACAAAATTCTCAACAATTTGGGACACGAGCTAACCAAGCAGTTAAGGGGGTGAATGAGATTCCAACACCACAATATGATCCTAAATTTGAGAACAAGATGGAGGAGCTCTCTAGCATGGTTCGGCACATTGCCTTAACACAACAAAAATTAATGAATTCACCAGCAGTGCCAACTTTTCCACAGGCGTATCCCTCACAGACGTGTGCACAACCTCAATTTTATAATCCTCAGCAAGCTACCACATCTTCTGCCTTAGTTGGGCCTCTATGTGGCATCTGTTTTTTAGCCACACACACTACTGATCAATGCCCACAGTTGGATGATAGAGTTGAGAATTGTGCTGGGATTTTTCCAACTAGATCTATGCAACAGGGCCAAAAATATGATCCTTTCTCTAACACTTATAATCCAGGGTGGAGAGATCACCCTAATTTCAGATATGGAGGAAGCCAACAACAACAATATAATGCTACAGGTCAAAATTCACAGCCTATGCAACCAATGAGGCAATCTACTCCTATTTCAGGGTCTAAAAATGATGGACCAAGTCTAGAAGAGTTAATGAAGCAAATGGCAACTAATAACATTCAATTTCAACAACGCACTGAGACAGTAATCCAAAAATTGGAGAATCAAATTGGGCAGTTGTCCACCTCCGTTAATGAATTGAAGAGTCAAGGTTCTGGAAAGTTGCCTTCTCAAACAGTTGTAAATCCTAATTGTAGTAATGTTAGTGCTATCACTCTTAGAAGTGGAAAGGAGCTTCAGAGCCCTCCACAACATCTATCAAGAATAAGTCGGCTGCAGCAACACAAGTCACACTTGAGGAGGCTAATGAAGAAAAGGAACCAAGGAAGATCCTTCCATTTCCAAATAGGGAGACTCAAAGCAAGAAGTTAAAGGAAGCTGAATTGGAGAAAGAAGTGCTTGATGTTTTCAAGAAGGTTGAAGTCAATATTCCCCTTTTGGAGGCAGTAAAGCAAATTCCTAAATATGCAAAGTTCTTGAAAGACCTATGCACGAACAAGAGAAGATTCAAAGCTAACGAGAAGGTCAATCTAGGAAGAAGTGTATCAGCTTTATTTCATGAAGGAATGCAGTGCCAACCCCCTATGCCCTTAAAATGCAAAGATCCAGGGAGTTTCACTATACCCTGTACTATAGGAAATTTAGAATTTTCTAACGCTTTGATTGATCTTGGTGCAGCGATAAATGTTATGCCCAAGTCTCTATTTTCTTCTTTGCAGGGTTGTGAGATGAAGCCAGCCGGGATTATTGTCCAATTAGCAGACAGGAGACTTGCCTATCCTAGTGGTATGCTTGAAGACATTCTAGTTAAGGTAAAAGATTTAGTCTTTCCTGCTGATTTTTATATTTTGGATATGGGTAAAAATGATAGTCATGGGCCACCACCACTGATTTTGGGTAGGCCATTTCTTAAGACAGCTAATACTATCATTAATGTTAAAGATAGTACTCTTTCCATGGAATTTGCAGGACGTGTTGTTCAATTTAATCTTTTAGAGGCTATGAAACATCCTATAGAGGATCATTCTGTTATTAATGTGAGCATGCTTGATATGTTAATTGATGATACATATGATGAGCTTTACAATGAGATGGTTTCTAGTTCTCTTGAGATTGTTGATTTAGATAGCAATACACATTGTTCTGACTCTATTATTTATGAAGATTCTTCTGACTGTTCTGGTTCTGATGATATTGTTGAGTTATTCAAATCCATGCATGATATTGGCATTGAAACTTCTAGTGACTCTGATATGATTGCTTCTGACTCTGAAAGAACTATAGACTTTGCTATCAACTCT